GGCGGTGGCAGCTCTGGCGGTGGCAGCTCTGGCGGTGGCAGCTCTAGAGGATCTGGCAGCACTGGACGGTCTGGCAGCACTGGACGGTCTGGCAGCACTGGACGGTCTGGCAGCACTGGACGGTCTGGCAGCACTGGACGGTCTGGCAGCACTGGAGGGTCTGACAGCACTGGAGGATCTGGCAGCACTGGAGGATCTGGCAGCACTGGAGGATCTGGCAGCACTGGAGGGAATGGCAGCTCTGGAGATGGCCTTTCAGGAGCAGGAACAGACTTTGAACTGGAAGCCATCTTGTGAGCTGGCTGACTGGGAGCGGCCATCTTGTGAGCTGGCTGTGGACAATGAGTCGCAAGCCCCGTAGCCAGCGGGTCTTGCTCTCTACAGCCCCCCCCCAAAAGTTTATTTGGATTTTCGTCCACCTCTCCTATGGTGAACGAAGATCCACTCATTTGGAGAGCCAGATCGATAAATTGTGCCAGTGTCCAGTGGGGATTGTGGAGTGGCATGTAGGAGTACAGTGGTTCAGCAAGTCCTCCGCGAAAGAAAATCATTAAACATAACTCACTCATAGATGTCAGATGTGAAAGTTCAATGAATTTCTCCACGTACTCCTCAATTGACCAGGCATCCTGACGGAGGCGCATGATTTGAATACCCGCTGGATCCATGTTCTGGCCGAGTCTTCTGTTACCACGACTGGGGTGGAGTGACAGGAGACCACAGGAGGTAAGATCCAATATGCAGTTTATTCAGTAGTCAGGCAAGCAATGGTCATCAGGTGCAAACAGGTATATACAGGCGGTCCAGAATCGTAGTCGATATAAACAGGCAGAAGGTCAAAAGGCAGGCGGCTAAACAGGATAACTGGGATACAAGGCTAAGATCGAAACACGGAGAAAAAAGACAGGGAAACGCGTTGTAATGTTACTAGGAGAACAAGACTCGGCAAACTGGTAGCGTGAGAGGGTGGCTTATGAATGGGATGTAATCAGTCTGTGAACAAGGATCAGCTTGTGCTTGCAATCAGGATACATGAGTGAGCAGGCGTGCGTGTTTGGGAGCAGTGCATGTATGAATGTGTAGTCCTGGGGAATGCGGAAATGAAGTCCTGAGTTCGAGTGAGAACCAGCGATCCTCTGGGGAGCGATCGCTGGTTGTGACACACACACTCATACACTACGGACAATTTAGCCTACCTAATTCACCTGTACCGCATGTCTTTGGACTGTGGGGGAAACCAAAGCACCCGAAAGAAACCCATGTGAAAGCAGGGAGAACATGCAAACTCCACACAGAAATGCCAACTGACCCAGCCGAGGCTTGAACCAGCAACCTTCTCGTTGTGAGGCGACAGTACTACCTGCACCTGCTGCACCGCTGTGTCACTCTTACCATCGTACTGTATCTAAATCGTTGAATACAAACATGAATACATAAAAATGCCAAGAATTCTCATGAGCACAGTTGGTTATGCCTGTGAGCTTAAACATCTTGGAAAGAAATAGCATGTTTATAGCAGATCAGCGTATAAAAATGGTAGCAGCATAAAATACTGTCTGTGTTAAATATGAAAATAACTCTTTGCTCTTGACAGAATAATGTCAGTAGCTTAAAACGAATTCATTTCTTAACTTGAAGTCATTCTGACTGTTATATGTTAATAGGACAGACTGCCAACAGTTATGGGCGGGGCTTGTGATGTCACAGTAGAAGTACAACTGGAACGGTGCATTTTCAGGCACTGATCTGACTTATGGGGATTATTTTAAAAAATTATGGGTGAATTTTCATCATTAGAGGCTAAATGTTTACCCATTGTCAAAACAAATAAGAGTTTAAACACCATATAAAAAAGAACTTTGCATTTGAGGACCTCTTTAAAACTTTTGCTCAGCAAGGATGCATTAAATTGATCTGTTTATTATATTTTTGATCAGATAAATGCATCTTTGATAAGCATAAAAAAACATTAACCCTCGCTTTCACAAACAAGGTTTAAGGCTAGTCAAGATTTAATTGCATGTTTGAGCTGTCCTAACTCAAAATAACTTGAAGTGAGATGTCTTAAAATATGTCAGTGTCATTTTTTTTGTCTCCAGGTGCACACCAGTAATATATATATTAGGGCCATTTTTATAAGTGTGGCTTAAATAGCCTAATTTAACTAAGGCCTAGTCCTGGGTTCATCTAAGCCCTGTTTGTGAAAGTGGGCCTAAGTGTAACAAAACATCAAAAGTCTTAATGGTTTCAAACTTTTGACCGGTAGAGAACATTACTTTTCTTTTCTTGGAAGAAATGAACTAATTACAGTTGTAGAAAATGATGTACACAGACGTTGGTGTAATTACTGCCAACATTCAGTTCATCACCAATTAAGTAACTGCAGTTCAGAGTGATACTATAATAATAAAATCACATAAAGCTTAAAGGTAATTTAATGAGCGCAGTTATTTTTACACACACACACACACACACACACACACACACACACACACACACACACACACACACAGTTTGTTTAATGGGTACAAAGAGAAAGGAAGAACAGGAACAAATTATTATTTTGAAGCAGTGGTGTTTACTAAAGCAAGCATCTATTGCTCATGTTGAAAATCAGTATTTCACCATGTAGAGGTTACAAAACTCTAGAGGTGAAGAAGGGATTGAAATGAGAACATCTGAGACCTAAATATAGATTTTTTTGACAGCTAGAACACCATAGTACCTGCAAGTACAATTTACAATTATTCACTTGAACATTTCTGGTCAACAAGCTTCAAGTTTACACTCTCCATCAATCCTCCTCCAAACCACTGTGCTTTTGTAGGGACAAATTTACTTCATAGAGCCTATTGTCATTATTGAATGATGATATGAACTGAACTAGCTCCATGAAGGAAACTGGATTCACATGAAATTGAAATGACATTTCACTATATTTGTTTGGTATATGCCTGAGATAATGCATTTAAATTTGTTAAAAAAAAAATTATTATTTGTTATAATAAAAAATCAGGGTTATTCCACCAAATACTGATTTCTTAGCTTTTCTGAAGAGCAATTTGTCATAAAACAAAACATTTTTTGTGTAAAATTACACAACAATGCAAAAAGTGCTTCTTTAAATTAAAATGCAGGTAATAAACATGCAAATTTCATATTATGCTTTTGTCTAAGAAAATATTAATGTTTGTATCACTCTATAAAGGTCTTTTTTAAATAAACTAACCGGCCACTTTACACCTTACTAGTACTAGTAACCCCTTTTGCCTTCAGAACTGCCTTAATCCTTTGTGGCATAGATTCAACAAGGCACTGAAAATATTCCTCAGAGATTTTGGTCTATATTGACATGATAGCATCACACAGTTGCTGAAGATTTGTCGGCTGCACATCCATGATGCGAATCTCCCGTTCCACCACATCCCAAGGGTGCTGGGGACTGTGGAGGCCATTTAAGTACAGTGAACTCATTGTCATATTCAAGAAACCAGTCCGAGATGATTCCTGATTTATGACATGGCATGTTATCCAGCTGGAAGATGGGTACACTGTGGTCATAAAAAGCAAAGACATGGTCAGCAACAATACTCAGGTAGGCTGTGGCATTGGCAAGATGCTCAATTGGTACTAATGGACCAAAAGTGTGCCAAGAAAAAATGCCCTAAACCATTACACCACCACCAGCAGCCTGAACTGTTGATCCAAGGCAGGACGGATCCATGCTTTCACGTTGTTGACGCCAAATTCTAACGATACCACCCGAATGTCGCAGCAGAAATTGAGACTCAGATCAGACCAGGCAATGTTTTTCCAATCTTCTATTGTCCAATTTTGGTGAGCCTGCTCGAATTGTAGCCTCAGTTTTCTGTTCTTAGCTGACAGGAGTCGCCCCCAGTGTGGTCTTCTGCTGCTGTAGCCCATCCACCTCAAGGTTGGACATGTTGACGATTCAGAAATGCTCTTCTGCATACCTTGACTGTAACGAGTGCTTATTTGAGTTACTGTTGCCTTTCTATCAACCGGAACCAGTCTGGCCATTCTCCTTTGATCTCTGGCATCAACAAGGGATTTCATCCTACAGACCTGCCACTCACTAGAAATGGTTACGCGTGATAATTTTCTTCCCCATTCTGATGCTCGGTTTGAACTGCAGCAGATCGTCTTGGCCTAAATCCATTGAGCTGCTGCCAAGTGATTGGCTGAGAAATTTGCGTTAACAAGCAGTTGGACAGGTATACCTAATAAAGTGACCGGTGAGTGTATGTTATATTGTATTTAAAAATCAGGATTATTCCACCAAAAACTGATTTCTTAGCTCTCCTTAAGTTCAAAATTTGTTATTATGTTGTCTAAAAAAAGCAATTTATTAAAAAAAAGCATTTTCGCATATTATAACAAAAACAATGCCATAAGTGCTTCTTTAAATTACAATTCCGTTTACTTCACATGCAAATTTAATTGCTAATTCCTGTTTTTAAATTAAAATTTAGGACCTAAACTGGAATATAAAAGACTTTCTCAATATAATTTCAAAACAAACACACACATCTGTTGCTCGACTAAATGGCATAAACCAGCCTGGAAACTCACACCTCTCTATGTAGTTTAGTTTTCGGTGCATCATTCACTAACAGAACAATAATGTTCCCTACGTCACTCCCTTTTTCAGCACTGATGGTCTGATCCGCAGCGATGACGGATGTATTGACTGACTGATAAAGGCTTCAATCAAACACCTCACCACGGGGCCGCTCAAGTCTCTAAAACAAACTCCAGCTGACAGACATCAGCTCTCCTCCAGCAGTGTGTGTGTGTGTGTGTGTGGCTGCTCTCTAACCCGGGAACAGGTGTGTGTAATCAGAGTTGGGTTAGAGTGAGCAGATTGTCCACTAATGGTGACCAGCATTCTGCCATTCTGAGAAGCGGGACGGAGGTGGTGTGTGTGCGTGTGTGTGTTTGCGTGGGACAGACGGAGGCTGCCAGAACCTTCTCCTCACCTGTACAGGAACTAATCGATGGCGTTTGAGTGCCCCCTTCTGGTGAAATCGGACAAAACAGCCGGCACAGTAATCCTCTCCACATTCAACACACATCTGAAAAACATCAAAAACAATTAAATAAAGCCAGGATTTACTCTGCGAGGTACTTTCACCCCCAAAAACTTTAATATCAGCAATATATATTTAAATATCTTGCACTTTTTTCGCTCAACACGATACATATTAAAATGGAGAGCAGGGAGTTGCAAGTATCTTAGGGGAGCTCATTATTTTGTTACCGATTGTAAATGAGTGCGGAGGGCGATAAGAGAGACCTTTTGATGGACAGACAGACGGCATAGCGGCACATGAATTTAAAGGAAGGTCGATCAAAACCAGAGCTGAAGAGCCACTTGTGAATGAATCCACCCCGCAATGCCGGCTTGATTAATTCAGGCTGAACGTCTGTGTATGATGATGCAGCACTTCAGCCTGAGAGATGCACGATGCTTGGAAGAGTTTGGATTTCTTAGGCAGAATTTCAATATTTCTGCAGCATTTGAAGAGGAAGCGTGTGTGAGTGTGTGCGTGTGGATGTTCTGTGTGTGCATTGTTTAACACAGGCCAAATGCCAACAAGCAGAATGTACCGCATGAAAAACTGTACCCCACAAAGCAATGCGCTCTACTTGACCTTCTTTTACCAGCATGACAAATGAACTGGATGCCTCCTTTTGACTTATTAGTTTATCAAGACATTTATATCACAGAACTAAACATTAGACAACAAGAATGCGGCATATTATAATCAGTTATGTTAACTAAAGTGTCAAATTAAAAGAAAAAAACTTAAAATATGAATATTTGATTTTAAAAAATTCACTTATTCATTCATTTTTAGGGATGTAACAATTCACCTGACTCAAGATTCAATACGATTCACGATACTAATCTCACGATTTAGTCACGATTTTTAAAAAATTATTTGAAACAAATTTAACCCATAAGAACCCACTGTGACGCGGGTGTCACAAACAGTTGTGATCATCTGGAAAGGTCTTTTTAAAGCATTATTCCTCATTTTTATAATTTCATTAATATAAACCACACTGAACTGAGCTAAACTAAACTGAACTTAAGCACTAAAAACTGAACTACCCTGATCCAGTTACTATGACCATTTATGTGAAGCTGCTTTGACACAATCTACATTGTAAAAGCGCTATACAAATAAAGCTGAATTGAACTGAATTGAATTTTCAACTCGGGAAGTCTCAAAGCGACGTATAAGTAACATCCAGGTTCAGTCACGCGAGGATGTGTGCATTTTTGTTGTCATGGCAACATGTCCAAAATGGTGGAATGTGTGAGGAGCACATGTTGCAGTGTCAGCAATTTTTAAAGATACTTGTTTTTATTACTAAAGGTATGTTTTGACCCATTTAACTATTCTAATGTTTTAATAACACATCCTGAACTACATTTACCGTGATTTTAATACATTTCTTGTACAAACTGACATAAATCAAGGTACAAAGATATATATATCACAGAGACATATATATCACATCGGGCTGATAACCTTAAAACAGTAGGTGGAATTTTGATGTCACATATTTGTCTCCACAATATCAGACGTTGGATTTTGGTTGCTTTCCTACACAAACTAAAATCAACCAAATATCAATGTTTAATTATGTTACATTTTGATGTTGTGCGAATGTTACCACTATGATATCTCTATCAGACGTTGGATTTTAGTCACTTTCCTACACAACCTAAAATCAACCAAATATCAATGTCTAAACATATTACACCTTGACGTTGTGTGAACGTTACCACTATGATATCTCTATCAGACGTTGGATTTTAGTCACTTTCCTCCACAACCTAAAATCAACCAAATATCAACGTCTAAACATATTACACCTTGACGTTGTGTGAACGTTACCACTATGATATCTCTATCAGACGTTGGATTTTAGTCACTTTCCTACACAACCTAAAATCAACCAAATATCAACATAATTTGATGTTATTATTGGACATCAAAATAACGTTGTCCTTAGACGCTGGCTAGACATTGAATTTTTGTCAACTGATGTCACGACTTAAATCTAGCCTAATATTAACATCTTATGATGTTGTGTGGCTGCTGGGATGGCCTCAATCAGGCTGATAACCTTAAAACAGTAGGTGGAATTTTGATGTGACATATTTGTCTCCACAATATCAGACGTTGGATTTTGGTTGCTTTCCTACACAAACTAAAATCAACCAAATATCAATGTTTAATTATGTTACATTTTGATGTTGTGTGGATGTTACCACTATGATATCTCTATCAGACGTTGGATTTTGGTCACTTTTCTACTCAACCTAAAATCAACCAAATATCAACGTCTAAACATATTACACCTTGACGTTGTGTGAACGTTACCACTATGATATCTCTATCAGACGTTGGATTTTGGTCACTTTCCTACAAAACCTAAAATCAACCAAATATCAACATAATTTGATGTTATTATTGGACATCAAAATAACGTTGTCCTTAGACGCTGGCTAGACATTGAATTTTTGTCAACTGATGTCACGACTTAAATCTAGCCTAATATTAACATCTTATGATGTTGTGTGGCTGCTGGGATGGCCTCAATCGGGCTGATAACCTTAAAACAGTAGGTGGAATTTTGATGTGACATATTTGTCTCCACAATATCAGACGTTGGATTTTGGTTGCTTTCCTACACAAACTAAAATCAACCAAATATCAATGTTTAATTATGTTACATTTTGATGTTGTGTGAATGTTACCACTATGATATCTCTATCAGACGTTGGATTTTAGTCACTTTCCTACACAACCTAAAATCAACCAAATATCAACATAATTTGATGTTATTATTGGACATCAAAATAACGTTGTCCTTAGACGCTGGCTAGACATTGAATTTTTGTCAACTGATGTCACGACTTAAATCTAGCCTAATATTAACATCTTATGATGTTGTGTGGCTGCTGGGATGGCCTCAATCAGGCTGATAACCTTAAAACAGTAGGTGGAATTTTGATGTGACATATTTGTCTCCACAATATCAGACGTTGGATTTTGGTTGCTTTCCTACACAAACTAAAATCAACCAAATATCAATGTTTAATTATGTTACATTTTGATGTTGTGTGGATGTTACCACTATGATATCTCTATCAGACGTTGGATTTTGGTCACTTTCCTACTCAATCTAAAATCAACCAAATATCAACATCTAAACATATTACACCTTGACGTTGTGTGAACGTTACCACTATGATATCTCTATCAGACGTTGGATTTTGGTCACTTTCCTACACAACCTAAAATCAACCAAATATCAATGTCTAAACATATTACACCTTGACGTTGTGTGAACGTTACCACTATGATATCTCTATCAGACGTTGGATTTTAGTCACTTTCCTACACAACCTAAAATCAATCAAATATCAACATAATTTGATGTTATTATTGGACATCAAAATAACGTTGTCCTTAGACGCTGGCTAGACATCTAATTTTTGTCAACTGATGTCACGACTTAAATCTAGCCTAATATTAACATCTTATGATGTTGTGTGGCTGCTGGGATGGCCTCAATCGGGCTGATAACCTTAAAACAGTAGGTGGAATTTTGATGTGACATATTTGTCTCCACAATATCAGACGTTGGATTTTGGTTGCTTTCCTACACAAACTAAAATCAACCAAATATCAATGTTTAATTATGTTACATTTTGATGTTGTGTGGATGTTACCACTATGATATCTCTATCAGACGTTGGATTTTGGTCACTTTCCTACTCAACCTAAAATCAACCAAATATCAATGTTTAATTATGTTACATTTTGATGTTGTGTGAATGTTACCACTATGATATCTCTATCAGACGTTGGATTTTGGTCACTTTCCTACACAACCTAAAATCAACCAAATATCAATGTCTAAACATATTACACCTTGACGTTGTGTGAACGTTACCACTATGATATCTCTATCAGACGTTGGATTTTAGTCACTTTCCTACACAACCTAAAATCAATCAAATATCAACATAATTTGATGTTATTATTGGACATCAAAATAACATTGTCCTTAGACGCTGGCTAAACATTGAATTTTTGTCAGCTGATGTCACGACTTAAATCTAGCCTAATATTAACATCTTATGATGTTGTGTGGCTGCTGGGATGGCCTCAAATGCAGTCTCTGGTCTCCTGAAAGTTGAGTACAAATCACACAATCACTTCAAATCTGGTCATATCATCAATTTTACTATCCTTCTTGCAGTATTTCAGACTGTTAGTAAAAGGATGATGGCTGATATTATATTCCCATACTACTGTAAAATCAAGTTGGCAGACAGTACCCAGTGTATACCCTGCAGTTTCCAGCAAGCAGAGTACAGTACATCATTCTCTCCTGAACAAAACAACAGCTCTACTTTCATTCCTGTGGGTTTCTCTAAGGTTGTGTGAGCGAGCACGGAGGAAACCCTCAGCTCTACACATCCATAAATACATTGAGACACACAAACACACACACCAAACACTCGCTTTAACACACTTACTGTCTTTGACAGCCAAATGCCTGTGTGCAGATTCCACAGGTACAATTCCCCTGGAGACTGTCTGTCTCAAAGCACTCAAGCATCCTTCACACACAAGCAGTGCATGAAAGTCTCAAATCTCCCAAGGGGTGAAAAGGTCGCCTTTAATACGGCCACAAAAGCACACACACACACACACTGTGAATAAAGAAAAAGGTAAATACAGAGCTGTTCAGTGAATCTACAGCTGTGCCCATTACCAGCTTCTTTAATGGCCACATAAAAAAAGGTCTCATTTTAGCACAACATGGCTGAAATAAATTACTGACAGACTTTCTCCCCAAACTCAGGACCTTCTTTTCTAAGACACCCTGAGTGGGATTGTATTTGCAGCAGTGTATTTAGCAGTAGTTCAATCTACTGCTGTCAGTCTCTGCTCAAAGTAAAAAGCAGGATCTTGCGTTCAGGAGTTAAGGAAACTAATGGAGGATAACAAACCTCTGTTTTTAATATGATTAAGACAATACTCTGATTAAGAGTCCATTAAACGGTGAATTTTGATTACCTTAATTTGAATAAAGTCATAATCAAACTAAACAGAAATCGAATCAACATATATGGAGTATTGTTGAAGTACAGACATGTAAACACCTTATTTTAAGTGGCAAATTCTGCAATGTCTATGAAGAGTAGAACAGGAAGTTCTGCACCAATATATGTGCAGGAATACACGGTGATCATTTCAGACAAAATGCTGCTCAAGGATATCTTGTTTACTTGCTACAGAGCAGCTCAAAGAAAAGTAGTGAATGTCTTTTAAGAATGAACATCCGTGAACTTTGCAAACTTCTGCAAATTCACTGGCTTGATTTCTCAGAAATGATCCTTGCGGCAAACAAATAAAAATGAACAAATAAAAATAAATAAATTGGAAAATGCAGAGAATCATAAGACATTAAAAGATATTATATCATTTTAGATTTCAATAGGCATTGTCAACTGTGAAATAAAATGTCTATACTTCAGAATTACAATTGTTTTCATTTATTTTGTGATTGAAAATCTGGATTATTCCACCACATATTGAGTTCCTAACTCTTTCTGAAGCAATATCATTCTGAATAAATGCATCTTAAAATGTGATAACAAGCGGTCAAAATGTTTATTAGAAAAATCTAGAATAAAATAAAATCAGTAATTAAACTTGCAAATATTCATTCATTCATTCATTTTCTTGTCAGCTTAGTCCATTTATTGATCTGGGGTCGCCACAGCGGAATGAACCGCCAACTTATCCAGCACGTTTTTACTCAGCAGATGCCCTTCCAGCTGCAACCCATCACTGGGAAACATCCACAAACACTCATTCACACACACTCATACACTACGGACAATTTAGCCTACCCAATTCACCTGTACCGCATGTCTTTGGACTGTGGGGAAACTCCGGAGCACCCGAAGGAAACCCACGCGAACGCAGGGAGATCAACAGAAACACCAACTGAGCCGAGGATTGAACCAGCGACCTTCTTGCTGTGAGGCAACAGCACTACCTACTGCGCCACTGCTCAGTTGGCGTTTCTGTGTGGAGTTTGCATGTTCTCCCTGCGTTTGCGAGGGTTTCCTCTAGGTGCTCCAGTTCCCCCCACAATCCAAAGACATGCGGTACAGGTGAATGGGGTAGGCTAAATTGTCCATAGTGCAGGAGTGTGTGTGGATGTTTCCTAGAGATGGGTTGCAGCTGGAAGGGCATCCGCTGTGTACAACATGTGCTAGATAAGTTGGCCCCAGATTAATAAGGGACTAGCCGACAAAAGTATGAATGAAAAATATTTTTTTATATTATATTTAATTGTACTATTATTTTACAACAATACTGTTTTTATTCTATTGTTGATCCATTAAATGCAGCCTTCATTGTAAAATAAAATCTGGGTTCTTCACAATTGTCCCAACACAAATCAATTAAGTTAATTAAATTTAAGTGCCTTGATCATAAAAAATTTAATTATCCCAAAATACGTGAGAATTGTGTTGTTTCAACTCATTTTTAATAAGTAGTTTGAACAAGCAGTAAAAGTCAATTTTTTGAATGTTGGTGAGCAAAAAATATTTCTTTCAGAAACCTTTCAGCAGTGTTATGATGCATGATATATGAAAGGGGCAAATAGTTTGGAATTAAGAATGGTTCGCATGACAGAACGGATGAAAACTCACCAGTCCGGCTAGCTGAACTTCACACTGTCCACAGACTTTTCCCTTCAGTTTGAGTTTCCTGTTAACACCATGCGCCTTGGCAACTGGTTCGGCCATTACCTGCTTCTGTGCTGCTGCATTTTCACACACACACACACACACACACACACACACACACACACACACACACACACACACACACACACACACACACACACACACACACACACACACACACACACACACACACACACACACACACACACACACACACACACACACACACACACACAGTGAGTTGGAAACCTCTATTATAACTGATATTTCTTTTCTATTTTTTAGCCTACAAGAATACTGTTATCTTTTGTTGTTGTTCTGTTTACAGGGAATGTTACTTAAATAATTTTTCTCAGCCCATTAGCAATTTGTGTGTCTTGTGTAGTAGATAAAGATAAATCTCGATGAAGTTTGAAACAAGAAAACATTTCCCAATGGGGTAAATACAAATTATAATTCAACGCGTGCTCTCTTATCTTAGTGTTGCTTCTCAAGTACATTTATCTTGTTTTAAGAATGTTTACTTGAAAATAATGATCAAGAAAAGTATTTGTTTTGCAGTCACAATACATGTGTTGATTTAACAACCTTTGAAAGTTTAAAAAACAATTTCGAGTCAAATTATTTTGACATGAATACGGGTGTGAAGCTAAGACTTTACTATGCTAGTTTTAAAAGCGATTATTTTGAGAGAAAAAGAGGGAAAAACATCTTAGATTCCAGTCCACCCACCTGGCACAGGCTCATCCTTCAGCACTCTAATCTTCATCTTGCCTGGAGAGAGCTGCCCAAAACAACATATTTCAAACACAGCATTATCACCAAAACCATGAGGAAATCATTCATGCATTAATTCTAGAAAGTATGTCCAAGGTTTTGTATGGTCGCTGACATGGACGAAGGTAAGGGCTGCTTGATTACGACTGGATATCTTATACAGAGGTTGGAAAGCATGAAAAGATGATGTCTGAGGAGAAAAGACTTACTCTGTTCTCCTTGTTCATCCTGACGTTCTGAAATGAAGGGGCAAGAACCCCAGGTTGTCCAGAATGCCAACGAGATGCTCCCATCTTCCTGTATGGAAAAATCAAACAAATCTCTAATTTAAACACTGCAACGGGTTATAAAAACCAAACACTTTATCTACATAAGTTATCTTCATAAGCAGTCCACAGATATGAAGCTCCGCATTTAGACGCGGAGACAGACGAGTCTCCTCATTGATCCTGCGGATCAGCCTGAATATCTGCAGGTGACCTACTTACACCTGCAGCTTCTTCATGATGGACGTCCAGCGTTCTCCAGCCTCAAGCACCTAGACTGCAGCTCTGCACAAGAAGTTTGGCCAAAAGAGAAATGGTCATCCCCAACTGAGCCTGGTTTCTCACAAGGTTTTTTCCTTCACTTTCGTTAATCGGTGAAGTTTGTTCCTCGTCACGGTCGCCACTGGCTTGCTTGGTTTTGCATTGATGGATTTGCTCCTCAGTGTTTGGACTTTCAGCAATGAAAATTAAACCACACTGAACTTAACAAGGGCGAAGCAGTGGCGCAGTAGGTAGTGCTGTCGCCTCACAGCAAGAAGGTCGCTGGTTCAAGCCTCGGCTCAGTTGGCATTTCTGTGTGGAGGTTGCATGTTCTCCCTGCGTTTGCATGGGTTTTCTCCGGGTGCTCCGGTTTCCCCCACAGTCCAAAGACATGTGGTACAGGTGAATTGGGTAGGCTAAATTGTCCGTAGTGTAAAAGTGTGTGTGGATGTTTCCAGAGATGGGTTGCTGCTGGAAGGCATCCGTTGCGTAAAAACGTGCTGGATAAGTTGGCGGTTCATTCAGCTGTGGCGACCCCAAATTAATAAAGGGACTAAGCCGACAAGAAAATGAATGAATGAATGAAGTAATTTGATTACTGTTGTCCAGGTAAACATAGTCACCTCTACATCTGAGTGCTGTTTTGCCTCTGAGAAAATCAGCACGTGCTCGAACCGAAACTCCCCTTTTCATGCAAACCCTTCCCTCTTTCGCCACTCGACACCGAACAGAGCTGGACTCACCCACTTTCCAGACTTTTTTTTTAACTAGAGGTGTGAAAACAACCTGCTGAGACAAAGGGGGTTTCATGGCCCTTTAATGTGGTAAAGTTTGAAAGGTTTTTTTTTTTTTTTTTTTGCTTGTTTATTTTACAGGGACAATACACTTGACATTGTTAAACAAAGATAACCGATGTTGTGTACATAGGGCATATAGCATAAAGCTAATTTGCAGCCCTCGTCCCTGGTTAGGCTTTACATTATAAAAAATAAAAAAATAAATAAATAATAATAATAATAAAGAAAACCGGCAAGAATAAAACACAATACAGCAAACATGTACAATATTTACAGAGCCATAAACATAAGATGCAAGTCCATATGGATAAAGAGAAATGTAAATGGGACCAACCTGAAAGAGTAATGCTTAATGTTCACATTGCTGTAAAGATTTCAACCATTCTTTCAGCTTTACAGAAAAAACTGATATAGGGCATAGGGGGGATAACTGGAAATATAACACAACCAGGAACTATGCTTTTAACTACAGCTTTAGAGCTTGCAAGCGTATAAGTTTGCGATGCAGTTTGCGAATGTTCATTGGAATGATGGATTTCAAAAACACAAAATCAACAAACTATGTTTGTAACGACGGAACTTGCGACCTTAGTTGGCTAGTGATGGTTTTGGGAAACGCACCCCAGCATGGTTTAATTTGAATGTCAATATACCATATAAATAAAAAACTAAAAACAAACTAAAAACAGAAACACTTGGTAACTTTTAATTAAGCACACACCAAATAGAGGAAAACAAACACAAACAGCACATGAAAGCTTTTGCCCTACATAATTCAGAGATACACAGACGGAGGTCGACTTCGTTTGTTTTCTGATTTGTTGTTTCGGTTGCCACATTAAATCAACAGTGTAAATAATTCACAGCGTGATTGCGGAGGAGGCCGTTTGTTTAGGATGGGCTGTCATGTTGGCGTGGAGCCACAAGCCCAAGTGTGTTCAGAGGATTGAAATGTATGTTATGTGAGTTTGTCTGTATAATATAATTCTGCATGCTTTTGTTATGCCTGAAAATGCTTTAAAAGTATCTGTAATGACTTTGTGTTCTTATCAAAAGCCCAGAGGAATGTGCACAACACTTTGTAGCAGGTGATGTAACTGAAGCCCAATGAGTTCACATGCTCAGAGGAAGTAGGGTAAGCACTTTTAACTAATGACTAATTTAGTCATTTGTCAGAGTGACTTACCGTATACTAATTATAGAGGCAGTCCCTTTGGAACTATCTTAAGGTTAAGTGTGTTGCTCTGGGGCAAAACAGTGACGGTAATTTTAACGGTAGGTTACACCATAACCAACCCAACCTAATAAAGTGGCCCCAAAAGTATTTAGCCATTTAGGCCATTTAAAAAATACTGCAAAATTAGAGAGCCAAGTCTTTATTTTAATTGGTTTAGATTGGTAAAAAAAAAAAATTATTTATTATATTTTTGATGAAAAATCTACACTCATCGGCCACTTTATTAGGTACACCTTACTAGTACCATGTTAGACCCCCCTTTGCCTTCAGAACTGCCTTAATCCTTCATGGCATACACTCTCAGAAAAAAAAAAGATACACGGTGGTACAAATAATGTTCCTTGAGGAACAGTTTTGAACTTTTGTAAAGTTTGTACCTTATATGGTACAGAAAAAAACTCTAAGTGGGTTCAACACTAAGGATTTTTTTATACAGCTCCGATCGGGCCATTGGTTGAGATTTTTTCTTGCCCTGCCAAAATTTTCATTGGCCCCACCAAAAAAACTAAAAAGTTAATAGCTATTTATTAGCCACATATTTTAAATAGTGGCAAAATTATGCCTGTGAATCTAGAATTTAAACATTTTAAATATGTTATTAATTGTATAATGAGCAAAATTCCAGATTTTATGCAAATGAAAGAGCAGTATGAAAAATGTGCTGGTATTTTAATGCAATTCTAAATAATTTTTATAAAAAATGGCTTGCCAAACTGACAACTTTTTTTTTCAGTTTCTTAATTTTGTACCCATGTAATTGTCTGCTTCTAAGACTTTAGAAACAGATGTTTTCTTTTAGCCTCATTGTTTAATTTTGCCGTCATGTTGCCATCTTTTCGCTGTACTGGTTGTTACCAGGTTACATAAAAAAACAAAAACGTGCTCATCGTTACTGGCCGATAGGGGCCAGTAACAATCCTGTCTACTGTCCCGAGTGTCTTTCACGCTGGCCCCGGGCCACCGGGCAGTCCTTAATGTTGAGCCTTGCTTAGGTAAGGTACACAATTGTTCCCATATAAAAGGTACAAAAGAATGTATAGTATAAGAATATATAAGAGTATAAGAGTATAAACATTAATTATTAAATTCTATAATACAATATTACAAAACAACTGGTAAAACATATACTATAGTTATTGTTAACTAAACATTAAAAACATTTCAAATAAATATTTGGTAAGCATTTTTGACACTGTTAAGGTACAAAGTGTCTTGTCACTGTGGTGGTACCTTTATGGATCAGATTTGTACCTTTAATGAAGGTACAATTTTGTATCTGTAGGTTTTAAAAACCAAAGGTACATTTTGGTTTCCCATGATGTCCTTAAATATACAAATTGCAATGGTACAAATTTGTTTTCTTGTCTTAAGGTACAATTCTGTTCCATACAAAGGTACTGTGCAGTGACAAGGGTTTGTACCTTCTTTGGTACAACATTGTACCATTTTTTTCTGAGAGTGTAGATTCAACAAGGTACTGGAAATATTCCTCAGAGTTTTTGGTCTATATTGACATGATAGCATCATGCAGTTGCTGCAGATTTGTTGTCTGCACATCCATGATGCAAATCTACCGTTCCGCCACAAAGGTGCTCAATTGGATTGAGTCAGGTGGCAGTGGAGGCCATTAGAGTACAGTGAACTCATTGTCATCTTCAAGAATCCAGTCTGAGTTGATTCACGCTTTATGACATGGCGCGTTATCCTGGTGGAAGCAGCCATTATGTTGTTGACGCGAAATTCTGGACTGACCATCCGAATGTTGCAGCAGAAATCGAGACTCATCAGACCAGGTAACGTTTTTGAAACCTTCTATTGTCCAATTTTGGTAAGCCAGTGTGAATTGTAGCCTCAGTTTTCTGCTCTTATCTGACAGGAATGGCACCAGGTGTGGTCTTCTGCTGCTGTAGCCCATCTGCCTCAAGGTTGGATGTGATGTGCAGACCTCGGTTGTAACGAGTGCTTATTAGAATTACTGTTGACTTTTTATCAGCTCCAACCAGTCTGGCCATTCTACTCGAACCTCTGGCATCAACAAGGCATTGGCACCCACAGAACTCCCGCTCACTGGATATTTTCTCTGTTCTCTGGATACATTCTCTGTCAATCCTAGAGATGGTTGTGCGTGAAAATCCCAGTAGATCAGCAGTTTCTAAAATACTCAGATCAGCCCATCTGGCACCAACAACCATGCCACGTTCAAAGTCACTTAAATCAACTTTCTTCCCCCTTCTGATGCTTGGTTTGAACTGAAGCAGATCGTCTTGACCATGTCTACATGCATAAATGCATTCAAATGCTGTCATGTGATTGGATAATTATACATTTGCGTTAACGAGCTGTTGGACAGGTGTACCTAATTAAGTGGCCGGTAAGTGTATTTATTATTATTTGTTAACTTTTAAATGCTACATACAAATAAGTATTGTTTTGTTGTTAACGTCTTAAAGAATTATTTTTTATGCTAAAATCTCTACTGTCACTTTCATCTCCTGTCAGTTGAAATCATCCTTGCACAAAATAGTTAATAACTTTTTGTTCAAAACAAAAATTACAATATTTTTTCAAGGCAAAAATCTTAATTCACTTAATGGGAAATCCACATATTTAAAAAGGTAGCAGTGTGGTAAATACTTAAGCCTAATAGTTTGTTACCTAGCCCTAAGCAAGAGAAATAGGTAAATTTGGGAATACTCACTTTCCTTCAGCTTAGTCCCTGATTTATCAGGGGTCACC